CATCACATCATCGTCATCAAAAGAGTCATCATGAAAGAGTATCAAATGCTTGACATTGAACACATCGACGATATGAATATGACTAGGCAACTTGAGATGGTTTACATTGGGATTGATCTTCTCAACTCGTCTCCACATGGCCAATCTTCTTTGTCGCCAATTTGTTGTAATCTCCCACGTAAAAATGATCCATAGTCAAAACAACCTAGACAAAGTCACCTACATCAAATTCGATATGACGATGCCTTTTATCAAGAATCTATTTTGTAATTCGCATAAGATTGAGCTAAGCTCGTCATGCACAATCTTATGAATCTCCTATAGCCTCGTCACAAAATCTATCGCCTTACCATGGATCTTTGTTTTGCTCGGTAGCGGCATCATATCCAAAGGCCCACGTGGAATCAAAGAATACACCACTCGAAAAGGACTAAATCTCGTACTCATGTTAACCGTATGGTTATGAGCAAACTTAGCTTGGCATAATTTTTTATCCCGGCTCTTGACATGATCACCAACCGGATATCGAAGCAAGTTTCCCAAAGATCGATTGAAAACTTCGGCTTGCTCGTCCGTTTCGTGGATGATAGGCACCGCTGGAGTTTAGCTATGTATTCACCATCTTTCACAAACTACGTCAAAAATGACTGAGGAATCGTGTGTCTCCGTTAGACACAATAGATGTAAGCAGCACCATGCAATCGATACACCTCTCAAAAATAAAGACGAGCAACATTAACAACACATGTCGTCTTTTTGCAAGGAATAAAATGAATCATCTTTGAATAACGATCAACAACCACATAGATGGAATCATTACCTCGTTGTGTTCGAGGTAGTCCTAGAACAAAATTCATATTGACATCCACCTAAGGCCGGGAAGGCACGAGCAGCGGCATGTGAAATCCAAAGATTAGTAGCAAGACTCCTTGGACACTTGATAGATTCGACATCGTCGCATAAACTTATCTATCTCTTTTTGAATGGTAGGCCAAAAGTTACGAAGCCCGAACTAGTTGTAATGTTCTGTCTCTCCCTACATGACCTTTCTCGTGTAGCTCCTTAATAATACGCACACGCAAACTACAATCGAGAACACAAAGCTAGTTTCTTTTGAACAAGAACCCATCATGCAATAGGAATTCTATATTCTCTCATGCATGGACCTTCTCCATAACAAGTAAAGAAATATGGATCAGTATCAACAAGTCACAAAATGAATCTAAACCAAGTACCTCAATTCGCATACGCGTCAATAAGTAACTCCTCTTACTCGATGCATCCGTCACCCCGTTAGTGACCCCGACCTTATAATTAACCACAAAAGTGAACTCGTCGTAGGTAAGCAACTCACTTCGCATGCCTTGTTGATACCTTATCTTGCTGGTGCGAATGCTTCAACGCCTTATGGTCAATATACAATATGAATTCTTTATGGAATAAGTAATGCCTCCGGTGTTTGACTGTCCGAATCATCGCATAAAACTCTACATCATAAGTACTATAATTAAGCTTCGCACCCGATGGTTTCTCACCGAAATAGGCTATTAGTTTGTTATTCTAGCTCAACACTACCTCAATACCCAACTTTGATGCATCACCGTGTAGCTCAAATGGTTGTATAAAATCTAGCAACACTAAAATCGCGTGCGGACGTCAACCATACCTTAATCTCTCGAAATGCCTCTTCCGCCTCTTCGAACCATGTAAATTTTATTCCCTTCATGCAATCAAGAATCAACGTCATGATGTCGCTGAAGTGAGGAATAAAGCACGAGTAAAAAGAAACAAGCCCATGAAAACTCGAACCTCCGTAATGCTACTGTGCCGTGGCCACTATCTCACCATCTCAACTTTGGACTCATCTACTTGCAACCCATCTCTTGAAATTATATAGCCCAAAAACAAGCACTTGGGCTCCATGAATACACATTTCTTCACCGTCGCATAAAACTTATCTCGGTGAAGCATTGTCAAAACCTCTCTTAAATGTCCAACATGGACTTTTGAATCAACACTATAAATCAGAATATCATCAAAATAAATAACAATAAATTTATCAATAAATAGCCTCAAGGCTCGATTCATGACACCCATAAAAGTATTTGACATGTTTGATAACCCAAACGACATGACTAACCACTTATACAGATCCCTTACATGTCTCAAAGGTCTTCTTCCACTCATCTCCAAGCCTAATACGTATCCGATGATATCCACTCTTCAAATCCAAGCTTTAGTAAAAACCGTTGCCCCACCGATCTAATCAAGCAAGTCATTCAACCGTGGAATAGAGAACCTATACTGAATTATAATCTTATTAATGGCATGATTTTCCACACACACGTGTCAAGAACCATCCTTTTTTAGCATCAACAAAGCTAGTACAAGCATAAAGACTCAAGCTCTCTCACACATGCCCTTTGGTAAGCAGCTCTTCAACCCGCCTCCTCAACTCTTCATGCTCACTCGGACTCATTCGGTAATGGGTTCTATTACGTAGCATCACTCCAGTGCTCTAGATCAAAATGGTGCTGGACATCTTGTAATGAGGGTAACCCGTCGCTTAACTCTTTTGAAAACACATCACGAAATTCTATCATAAAGGGGGCTATTACCTCCGGCACTACTCGTCTCGCTTTAGCTTCCCTTCCTATCAAGCACATAAATCACTCTCGAACCCCGTACCTCTTCCTCAAATCGAGCCAATGACACCAACTTACTACTCGTCCCCTATAGACTTGAAAACAACCGCATTCTTGTTAGGTATAAGCATAATTTTCACCCAATTAAAGAGGAACCCGTAAGTGTTAGATCATCCCTTATGGGTTACAATCCTATCATACCGCCATGGTCTACCTAACAACAAATGACATGCATCCATGACAACCATATCACACCACACATCATCCTTGTATTTGGAACCAATAGAGAATGACATTAAAACACGCTTAGAAATAATTACCTCGTCTCTCTTTTTGAGCTAAGCCAGTTTATAAGGCCTCGGATGTCCCTCTATTTCGAGGCTCAACTTCTGTACCGCCTCATCGGATACAATATTCTCATAGCAATCAGCATCAATGATAAAGCGACATACCTTACCCCGAATGGTGCAGTGGATTGAAAGATGTTACTCCTTAACTAATCATCCTCGACGACCCTAGGAGTTAGTGCAATACCTCCTCACAACCAATGTCATCCCTTCATCTCCCATAATAATCTCTTCCTTCGTGGCACCTCTATCATCATAAACAGTGCTCATCTCGCTAACTCATCGCCTTCATCACACTATTCCCGAGAAGCACCTTCTTTCTTGTCTTTCGACACTCCAACTACCTATGATCTACCTCACCACAACCGAAGCATCTTATGTTGTTATTGGTCTTTCTCGCCGATTGTCCAACGAATCGAGTTATTTCAACCCCTATTACCATCCTTCCTACTCGGCCTACACCGCCACCACCACCACCGCTCAACCCACTACTACCTCTCTATCTCTCATGCGAAGGGCTTAGTGAAACCGATAGAACGACGTGATTGTTTCTTAACCAACGACCCCTTCGAAAGGTTACCGAAAGACACACATGATCGAACATATTAACGGAGTCCCTACTCCGTGGTTTCGGTCCCCGATATACCTCATCACCAACCGATCCTCTCGTCTTTTGTAATTTGTTTCGTGTTAGCAACTAGTAAAACTCCATTATGTAATCATCTACTAATCGAGCCCCATGTCTCAAATCCCGTAACCGTTGGTACATCATCCTTTAAAAATTATAAGATAAGAAGGCGATACATATGTGTTTCTTCATCTTCTCCCAATACGTGATCTTAGGCTTACCCATTCGATTTTTGGTCGACTTCACCGCTCCCACCAACCAGCTTACCCTATTTTTAAATCCGGTGGCTACTAAGGGCACCCGTTTATCCTCGTGGACATCCTTAAACTCTAGAATCTCTTCCACTATCGATAGCTAATCTAGAAATTCCTCTTTTCGAAGGGTGCCATGAAATTCGAAATCTCCTTCCGTATACCACTCTCCGACCTCCTACTATCGAGCTCCCTTACGAGAACTCGATGCCTCACGGTCGGGATGTTCCCATCATCCTCATCGTCTTCCTAGTCGGCTTCGGTGCCTAACAATGGTGATTTCGATTTTGTTTCCTAGGACCCCCGCCCATGTTCATTGTCAATGCACTTATCCGTTGGCCAAGCACCCCTAACTCGTTGTGTTAACCGCTAGTGGACTCGCTCTATTCTATCATTCAACTCGCTCTACTCACTCGCTCCAAATGAACAACATCAATGTGCTCATATAGTTCATCCACATCTCGCTCTCGTCGTCGTCGTCTCTTCGGCGCATGTTCAGGAAAACGATATCTAAGCTTTGATACCAACCGACGTAGCGAAAACTCACAAGAAAGAATTGTAAATACCATTGATCCGACAAGTCGATGTCGATCTACAATAACCCGTTGATTTGCACACAAATACCGGGGAATAGACTTCGATTCCGTTGGTTCAAAGAATGTTGATAATTGGAAAAATTGAGATACTTTCTCACAAAAGTTTATTAATCAAGAAAAAGTGATGTTTTTCAACCTAAACGTCTTACATAAATAGTAAATTTTAGGTCAAACCCCTAAAACAATTTGAAAAGGAAATAAACATTAAAAATCCGAAATTAAGTAGGAAAAATCCTAAAAACTCACTACCGTACGGACAGAATGGTAAATTGGTGATTTGAAGGCCTAAACGATGTTTTTTTTGTGAAAATAACACGTACATCATGAGCGAAGCCATGAGTTTTGATCATTGGCCCATTTTCCATGAAAGTAGGTCCAAAAACATCAAAAATCATCCCCAAAATCCCATCTCCTATCATCATACCCTATCGTGTCGCTCCATGAATTCCAAGGCCTTTTGGTCCACGTCAACAACTAACTTATTCCTAATAAATTCCTAGCTGCTTCTTCTGCCAGCTCATTGCCAGTTAGCCATGTCTGCGAATCCACTATCCATACGTAGCCATGTCAACTCCCACAAGTCCAGCTGATCATCTTCCTATCCAGCTCACTCTCTTCCTTCAAACGAGCTGTATCAATTATCAATCTCGGATTTGATCATTAGTATATTTTTGTTGTCTGCATACTTTGCAGGATCTCTCTCCGAATGCTTTTAAATAGATTTGAATCAATGTTAATGGAAAGTATGTCCAAGGCAAAGAAGTTCACTTATGAGAGATATGGATCAGCTCCACGAGTTTATATTGCTTGTACTGAGGATTTAATGATGTCTGCATCATTTCAGCGTTGCATGATTGAACACAATAATAAGGTTAAGGAAGTGATGGAGATTCCAGAAGATCATATGGCAGTTTTTTCCAAGCCTAAAGAACTCAGCCAAAGTATACTGGAGTTGGCTAGTAAGCATGCTTAGATTGACATATACAGTACATATGCCGTATCATTAAATAGTGTGCTGGCTTATGAATATGATAGTGTGCTGTGCATCTTGGCTGCATTTGCATAAGATTTGTCTCAGAATGTTAAAGGAATTGGCGTTTCTCTCTATTAAAAGGAGAATTACACGTGGATGTATACCAGGGCACTGCATAGATGATTTTCATCTTCACCATTTGGGTTTGGTAATTAGTATTTGAAATGAGATCAGTTTCTGTTTCTGCTTATTTAGTTCCATTACTATACCTCATTAATCTTTTGAGCACTGGTTACACTTTTGTTATCATTATTCCCAGGAATTTTGATGTTTTTCACTTTTTCTGTACGTGTTAAACTTGCTAGCTCCTCAATTACTCCCCTTCTTATGATCAGAGTTGCTTCCTTGCACTATATGTCCACTTCTGTCCCTGGCAGTTCAGCGGAACTAAAATGGAATTTATTTCACCAGAACAAGTCTTCAAAACCCAAAAATCATGTCTCATTCGGAATATATGCCGATGACTGAAACTGCTATTAACTATAAGTTCCATTGCACTGTGAGCATCATGGAAGAGATGAAACCAAGAAACATGGTGAGATTTAATGCATAAAATGAATCAAGCACATCGATGATGTTTCTATATAATTCTAATTAAACCCAATTTCTGTTGTTTCCTATTGCTTCTCTCTTGTGTTGTGCATCGCTTGCAATCTGCAATAAGTTCACAGATTATTTACAAGTATTTATCACCAATGTCCTGGAGGCAAGAGCAGAGCTCTTGTGGTTTAGAAAACATGGCCATGTGATCAGAACCAGAGATGACCATCACTTTTTCAATCAACCATGTTTGCTTAGGATCATTTTCTTGGTCACATACTATATAAACTCGGCGAACAGATCCATATTTCTCCTTAGTGACGATTGCAGCATTTTCAGTTTCTGAACTACTGTATATAGGGAAAGGTCTGAGCAACAATGTAGCTAGCATCAAATCCTGGATCAATTTACAATGGTTAGAAATTATAGTGAGCCTAATGAGGTTAATGTGCACTGTATTTTTCCTGGAAAGTAAAAAAGGGAGGTCTTACCTCAGGTGGGGAAAGGTGGTAGAACCTGGATGCCATGTATTTGGGACCAAGGACTAAGGTAGTCGGAGGGTTGTCAGGGCCATTTCTGAACACATATTTTGTATCCATGTAGGAGATTGGCGTTGGAGAAGACTGTAAATGTTTGCGAAGTACGTATTAGTAGCTAGTCCATTCACCAGATACAAATGCTAATAACTCATTAGTAAAAACAAACCAGCAACTAAAATAAAAAAACCCGAAAAAGTCTAAAACATCTCCTCAACTAAATCTCTATTCAGCAATCTGTAATTACCCTATAACCATAACCAACAGGTAACTTGACATTAGATCGTTCAGCTTAAACTCCTCTGTTCTAAAAGAACCCTACTAAAGTTTCACTACTAGGCATTTGTGCACAAGCTATAGTAGACCCTCCGGTGGACAGAAGTTTTTGTGATGGGGCAGCAGCTTTTGGGAAAAAGAGAAGTGCACCTTGTCTCTTGCATGTTTCCAGAGGGAAAAAGATTGGTTTCAATGAAAGAGACAGAGAATTCAAGAACATTTCTACTCTTGATTTTGATTAGAGACAAAAAAACGGGGTACGTTACTGACAGCCATTTTAATCCTCAGGATTATTATCTTCTTCTTTTTTTTTTTTTTTTTTTTTGGAAAGTATGTTTGGTTTGGTTATCATCAAAGTATGCACTGCAAGAGTCCAATTGGGACCACAGACAGCGTCTATTGCTTATCTTCATCGCAATAATAAATATGCAATGTAAGAGGTCCCCTTGGTGGGCATTCACTTGTCTTATGAGAGTTACATTCAGAAAGTAGGGAAAAGAAAAATTCATGAACCCTATTAATGTATTAGTATTGTTATTATTATTATTATTATTATTTCTGACCAAACACAAAGGGGAGAAGCCTTCAAAGAGAAAGAAGGCAAATGGTAGCAAGTTTCTACAAGCAAAAGTGAGAATTAAGTATCAAAAGTATTTCTTGGCAATCTCCAGGAGGCAAGAGCACGTCTCTTGTGGTTTAGAAAACATGAGCATGTGATCAGAACCAGGGACAACCATTACTTCATCAGGTGGATTATTTTCAATCATCCATCTCTGTAAATCTTCCTTCGTCATGTTATCTTCCTCACACACGATATAAGCTCGGGGAATGGATCCATATTTCTCCTTCGTAACCCCCACTTTTTCTTGAGTTGCCTCGTTTCTAAACAAAGGGTGAGGTCGCAACAGCAACATTGCTAGCGTAAGATCCTGGCCAAGGTTTTTTTTTTAATAAAAAAATCAGCAGTAGAAAATAAAATTCAACCAAAATACAAAATATACTTAAATCAGGTATGCAGAGATGCTCATTACCTCAGTAGGGGAGAGCTGATACAACCTGGTTGACATGCAGTCGACCCCAGTCAACAAGGACGTTGGAGGATTGTTGGGCCCACTATCAAACGTATATTGCGAGTCCATGAAGGAACCTACTCGTCTGGCATACTGATAATGCACGTTCAAAGTAAATATAGAGAAAGTTTAGAGGTGGCGTTATTATGCCCACTCTTTGTTTTATATATATATATATATATATATTTCATGATATTATAAACATCATAAATATCTAACCCAAACAAGGTTGAAAAGAAGATAAGATCAAGCTTAAGGTCCATTTGTAACGCATATAATTTTGTCAAACAGGATGAAATTTGTGCCAGGACAACGCATTATCAGCCACTAAAAATCAGGTGGAATCAAATGCAAGCCAATCTAATTTGCTGGCTTGTGTAGAAAAAGCTACCACCATATGGATATCCAATGTAGCAAGCATAAAAGATCTGAAATAACACAAGCCAGGGCCAAAAATAACAGCCCTATAACTAAATAAGACATCAAGAAAGCGTAGAGTATAGAATCATGGTCCTTGCTTCTCTTCTTCCTTAAGAAAATAACTCCTTTCTGGAAGCATTTAAGTTTGTCTGTGTGTGTGTGTGTGTGTGTGTGTGTGAGAGAGGGAAAGAACAAATGATACCTCTTCTCCTGCAGATGTGAAGCTGAAGTCAGGACTTGGCATGATAGCTGATGCAAAGACTGCAGAAGAAATTTTCTCAGAGAACCTTTCCATTGCAACAGATATACATAGTCCACCCATGCTGTGACCCACTAGAATCACCCTTTCTTCTGGTAGCAAAGAATCCATGAATTTCATCAATGGCTCAAAATAGTCTGAGATCGATTGGAGCTCGTCTACCCGCTTAGGGTGGACACCAGAAGCAGCCATGTCCAGAGCTGTAACTCGATGACCAGCTGATTTAAGCAAAGTAGCCACCTTATACCAACACCATGCTCCGTGACAGGCTCCATGGACTAGCACAAAATGCCTCTGCCTCTCCATCTCCTACCACTCCTGACTCTTACTTTCCTATCCCGTGTGTCTGGATTTCTTCCTGCTGGCTATATTATAGTATGATTGGAAGAGTCCAAGTTCGGTGGCAGAGCTTTTTATGATAAATAAAAAATTTCGCAGCTGTCGTGTCACAGTTGGAAAATTTAAAGTCCTTCTAAATTGTCATTTCACCGTCCCTTCATTTGACCAGCTGATTTATTTGTCTTCTTCTGTGATGCTTTGTTAGTTATGCTTAATCCATTTTGTACACCTTAAACGCACAACATAAACATATTGTTTAGGCCATTGGTTCATATGATATACTTGTTATATCGATATTCATGAGGATTTTTGCTTCTCGGTAGTCTGATGAATAATTTAATTAGTAATAAATGCAAGTCTATTAGTTCTCATTTCTTAGATACTTGATGTCATTATGTCTATATTTTATAGTTGTTTTTTTTTATTTGGCTTTTCATTGAGTTGTTACTAGGTGAGTACCCACGCTACGCTATGATCAGATACCTTTTATATATATAATGTTAACGATTCGTATGATATAGTGCAAGTAAAAGTTTTATTTTCGATGATTAATATAAATTAAATCTATATATTGAGCGAAATCGCTTGATATATAGCATAAAAATTTATATTTAAATAACTGAAAATTTGTTTTAAAATATTATGTAACTTATTTTATTTAAAAAATTTAGAATGTAAAAAATAAATAATAAAAAATTGATATCACGTGTGCAAATATATAGTTAATTTCTAATAAAACCAATGATATATATATATATATATATATACATATGTATATACATATGTATATATGTATATATATATATATATATATCGATTCGAGATACGAATGAAAAAAAACCCACCTAAATTATATGAAATATATTGAAGTCAATAGACTACAAAAAACTACAACAAAATTGATTATGATAAATTCTAAATAAATATATATAAAAAACTTGTGAATTTTTTTCAAAAACTGAAGATAAACTATCTAAAACATACTTTTATCTTCCCCTCCTCTCTCCCTCTCTCTCTCTATATATATACATAATCATAATTTATAAATTATAATAATATAATTTTAAAATATAAAACACCAATGTTCTAAAATTTTATTCCAAAATTCATATATTAAAAAAAACAAATTTATTAACAAATAAAATTATATAAAAAAAATTAATTTGATGAGAATTTGAATAAGAAACAAATAATTAAAGAAATAAAATTTAAACAATAAGAGTAATATAGTTAGATATATATGTCAAAACTAAAATCTTAAAAAATATCATATATATTCTATCATCTTCAAACTCGTATGTAAAACTATATAAAAAAATAAAATAAAGATTTATTTTTTATATTTTTCACATCTAATTTCATGATAATATATATATAAATGTAAAAAAAGATCACGCTCGCTAAATTGTATGAAATATATTGAAGTAAATAGATCAAAATAAAAACTATAATAAAATTGATTATGATAAATTTTGAATAAATGTATATAAAATATAAAATAAAATTTATGACTTTTTTAGCCGATTATTAATTTTTTAAAAAAATTAAGCCAAACTATTTGAAATATTCTCTCTCTCTCTCTCTCTCTCTCTCTCTCTCTCTCTCTCTCTCTCTCTTATATATATATATATATATATATATATATATATATATATATATATATATCAGAATTTGTAAATTACAATAATATATTTACAAAAATGAAACTCTCATTTAAAAAGCATAAAAATAATTTATTGTATTAATTATAATATTATATTTAAAAAACGGACGTTCTAATATTTTTTCAACAAATGAAATTATATCAAAAAATTAATTTGATTAGAATTTTAATAAGAACAAATAATTGAAGAAATAAATTTTAAATAATAAGAGTAAAAATTAAAAAAAAACTAAGAAAATAAGAAAAAAAAAGAAAAGAAAAAAAACTAAGATCGAATAGTATAGTGTGAAGGTAAAGTAAATCATTAGCTTCGTGTGGAAAAAGATAACGATCGATTTTTAAAAATTTTAACACTCAATCAAATAAAAAAAGAACATAAATTGATGAGGAAAAAAAAAGAAAAAAAGACATGTAGTGCATCATTTAGAGATTAAAATTTTTATTTTAAAATTTTAGGAATCGAATGAAATAATTCGAAAATTTTAAAAAAAAACTAGGGAAAAAATCGAGGGTGAAAATTAACAAAAAAAAGTAAAAAAATGATTTAAATTTTAAAAAAAAACTACAAAAATAAGTAAGGGTGAAAATTAAAAAAGAAAAAAAAAACTAAGATTGAGTAATATAGTTGAGGATAAAGCAAAAGTAAAAGTAAAAGTAAGAAAAAAATACCGGTCAAATGAACAATACCCTCTTCATTCTCTCTCTCTCTCTCTCCATATATATATAATCAAAATTTATAAATTATAATAATATATTTAAAAAAAAACATCGATGTTCTAAAATTTTATTAACAAATAAAATTATAACTAAAAATTAATTTGATTAGAATTTTAATAAGAAACAAATAATTAAAGAAAAAAATTTAAACAATAAGAGTAAAAATGTAAAATAAACTAAGAAAATAAGAAAAAAGTAATAGTGACAATTTAAAAAAAAAAGAGGAAAAAAATAAGATTGAGTAATATGGTGTGAGGATAAAGTAAATCATCGATCCGTTTAGAAAAAAATAACGATCGATTTTTAAAAATTTTAACAC